ACTGTGAACAAGGAAGAACAGGCTCCATTTTGGGTGGGACTAACAACAACGGCTACATCTGAAGAGACCTACAGAAAAAAATACATTTTGTACCGATTTAGCTACGCTTAAACAATCCGCACATTTAATGTACAGTAACGGAGAGACTACGAAGCGATCGAGCTACAGAACGGGTCGTTAATCAGTCCCGGGTTTTCTTTAATTTTCTGGAAAACGTACAAGTTGTTCTTACCTCAGAATGGTAGCTGCAGAGATGGCCGCATTGCATATATTAACATAATCTGCCTGGTAACTCGCAAGCTCGTGGTTTCTGATTGGCAGTTAGTTACTTAAGAACAGGCGGGTGTGTTAGTTTAAGACGTTATTTTAACAAGATGTTTTTTGTATTCAGAGGACATATAAATTATTTTAAAATAAACACTGATGTTATAGTTGTAACTTTCTTTCGTTCTAGTTATAACATTTCAGTTTTAGCAGTTCATTTACAGCTAATCAAAAAATTACACCCTGTGGTCATCCAATTTTATTTAATCTTATCTACAGAGGCGATTCGCGACCTTTCAAAGTTGTGGTAACATTTTTACCACAGCCATATTAAATCTCTTTATTTCTACATATAAATATTTTTTTTATGTCTGTTAAAGAGTGGAGTTGTGACTTAAATACCACTGGAAGCACGACTGGTCGATTCCCTGTCGTGGACGCGTAGAAAGTAACGATCATCAAGTCAATTTAGCTGTAATACAGATTTATTTCCGGTACTTCCGGTTGTTACTGTTTTGGCCTGAAAAGGCACGAAGTCCACCTGCAACAACGTATCTTTTTTATGTGCTAATTGTTATTAGTTGTAATACTTAGTTTCAGACAATTCTATTACTAATGTCTGCGTGTCTTTACCGGAACAATGAAATGCCTGTTTTTCTTGCAGTGATGTTGCAGAATCAGAATACTTTATTCATTCCTACGTAAGTTATGTGATTACAGTTGCTGCAAAACAATAAGAACAGTAACAGATTAAATGAAGTTTAATAATACAATATAGTACAATGTTAAATAATAATAAAAGAAATAGCTCTAATATATACAAATAGCTCAATTATAAATATCCAGAATATTACAGGGATTGAATTTGTATATTGTTCTTATAGTTGTAATGCTAGTGCCATTAGATCTCCACTAGAGAGAGCCAAATACTCCTCGTAGAGGTTTTTCATGTTTATCTCGCTTTTAATGCAGTATTAAAATTATTTATTCCAGTATGATACTACTGGGTTTGCGATCCAGTAACGTTTGTAACCTTCAAGAAATTAGGCCACAGTGGTTGCTTTGTTTGATTGCCATAAAAGTAGATTTGCCATCACTTCAATCAAGTGCAATATAAACAATCATTGATTCTTGCACTTCAGTCTATGCTCAATCACCCACCATTTTCCATTTCCTGTTATTTTTTGTTTGTTTGTTTTACAAAACCATTAAGAGAACTTTGAGTGTTTGAACAGAAGGCCATCCATAATTGTGAAATGCAGCAATTTAGGAAAGACTTGAGCTCCTCATTCAGATAACAGCCTGGACTAAGTATATGAGCAAGATTGTCAGTGGAATAACCTCACTGCAGAAAAATATTACGACTTTGCCTTTTATGGTGTAGCCGCTGCACAGAATAGACTAAAAGATATGTGAAACCCTGCTTTGAGTGTTTTGAAGAGCATTCAAATGACTTTTATTGAGGAAAATCATCTCTTACCTATTCGGAAAAGTACAGCAACAGGGAGACTGGCTAGAACTGATCTGAAGCAAGAAACTTCAAGATGAGTTTCTCACTGTCCTCAAGTGGTTTGGCTGAAACCCAGACTGAAACACTGAGTATCTATGAATAAACCTGATGATGCTTCCTAGTATGCTTAAGAGAATCTGCCAACAAGAATGAGAAATCATCTAAATCAAGGGTGTCAAACATAAAGCCCGGTGGCCAGAACGGTATCCAATTTAGCCCACTAGGTTGGCTTTAGGAAATGTGAAGCAAGGCATAAATGTTTAACTTTTAACTGTATTTTCATAAGTTTTACAGCTTTGGCTTCTGATAAACACTTCCCTCATTGCCATTCTTACTATCCCAAAGTAAATAAGTTATTTTCTGCTGGTATACTCACAGAAAAAAGACTGTTTTTACACATCTGTTTTTTTATATATATATATATATATATATATATATATAAAGTATACCAACAGAAAATAACAGATGTGAAAAAACAGGAACTTCTCTGTGATTTTCCCGTTTATATATTACTTATTTACTTTGGGATAGTATGAATGGCAATGAGGGAAGTGTTTATCAGAAGCCAAAGCTGTAAAACTTATGAAAATACAGTTAAAAGTTAAACATTTATGCCTTGCTTCACATTTCCTAAAGCCAACCTAGTGGGCTAAATTGGACACCGTTCTGGCCACCGGGCTTTATGTTTGACACCCTTGATTTAGATGATATATATATATATAATCACTGGTCCAGGCCACTTGAAATCAAAGTGTATGTGACCCACAGTATGAAATGAGTTTGACATCCATGATCTAAATCTTACTTGTAATGTCTACCCAGGAAGTTATAATGACTGCTAGATTGACTTAATGGGTCTGATTATATTTGACATCAAGTCCACAACACAAACACACTAGATCCTGCTGATTTCATGTAATGAATGAGTACTAAATACTTAACTGGGGGAAACTGACACTTCGTTGTGAGTTTGGTTACTTCATACTGAGACAATTCCTTAAACCTCTGAAATGTAACTCCACAATTCACGTTGGATTTCAAATGCCTTCAGATAACTAAGTAATTAACAGGTAGCATTACATTCAAGTGAACTTATTTTATACAGCCAAAGCAATTTTTTAATAAATAAATAATTTTAAAACAACAACAACAAAGTAAACATGTCATTTGCTGCATTCTCATAGGACTATATTAGCTGGCAAGCCGAAACAGGAAATTAATTATCTCTCTTTTTTTTCTGGATGTATTTTTACTCAGGTATCTGGGGATCAAACTGACACATACCAAAATTAGTCTAAACATATGCAAATTAGAAATTGCTCTGACACGTCTAACAACTGATGTTATAAAAATTAATAACCGATCCGTGCATGCTGCCTGGAGCAAAAATCAAATTTACATGAGGCTTTTTTCAATAAACCATCAGAGAGAAATAGAACTGACACTCTAGTAAAACAAACTCAAGTCACAAAACACCCAAGCTGCATGTGTGTGTGACTGTGTGCTTATAATTACCTTATTTAAACAAAGAAAATCGAATTTTCTTCTGTGATGTTATGTTCAAAACAGGCATGCTGCTCACATGATTTGCAGTTTTGTAAAATAGTCAAAGTCTATTCACTATGTTTGTATACAAATACTATGAACAAGACAAGTATCAACGGGTATCGTTTTAGTGAACATATTCTGTTTAGCTAACAGCCAAAATGAGTAAGTTTTGCCAAATGGACCGTTGTAGAAAGACAGAGATGCCCAAAAGAATCCTGAAAGCTTCTTCAGAGCTTTCAGGTGTAACGTCTCCATAGACCTGGCATCCAGACCTCCACATGTACAAGACTGTTTATTTGTTTGCCATACGATGATGCACTCCAAGCCATGCTTTCTTTCAGCTTCAGTCCCATTCACAACATTACAGCATAACCTTTCTGATTTAAAAAGCTAAAAGAGAAAGCTAAACAAACTAAAGTGATGTTCTTAAATTGGAAATCTAACTAGAAAACTGAACCTTTCATGTATTACTACAGTTCAAGGTTCTGAGATTGAGTTAGTATCTCAGTACAAGTACTTTAAAATTACAATTGATGACTCACTATTGTTCACACCTCACATTAAGCAGCTGGTCAAGAAATATAAACTGAAACTTGGGTTTCACTTTAGAAGAAAGTCCTGTTTCTCATTTGAGGCAAGACAGTGTTGTAGTTTCCACTTTTATTATTGGACTTGATTACAGTGATGTTACTTATATGCATGTGTCCAGGGAAGACCTACGTATACTAGTTTCCGTCTATCAAGCGCACTGAGATTCATTACAAGTTTTAAAACTCTTATTCACCGCTGAACATTTTATGTATGGGTTGGGTGGATTCAGCCACTCTTATCTATAAGGTTATTGTTGGTTTGCTCCCATCTTATTTATAGACTTATATTCATCAAAATGTGTGGGAGGTCTTAGGTCCTAAGAGTTAATTATTTTATCTGTTTCAAAGGTTTGCAAATTATATATGCATTATATACACCGTATATATGTGTAGTATTGTTGTATTGTTTTCTTTTAGTTAAGTATGTAAAAGCTTATTCCACTAATCTGTTAAAAATATTAAATCATTGGCATCAGTATGTCAGTAAATGTGTGTAAAAGAATGTCAAATTATTATTATTATTATGTAAACATTTTTAAAGCCAACTGTACTCCACATTTGTGGTGCAGTAATAGTAATGCAAACCTGAAGATTTAGATGGGTTAAAATTATGCTTCGGGATTCTGCTCAAGCTTTTAAGATGAATAAAGTACAAGCCAAATGGTTGTGACCAGTAATGCTGCTACCTTTCATGTTGTGTTCATAAATTTTATGTATACATTTAATATTACAAAAATGCAGCGGTACTGACTTTAAGTGACACATGAAAAAGAAACTCGTCCATATTCCTCGTTTCCGGAAACGTTGGCACAAAAGCTCACTGTCTGAAAATAAGTTCGTCTTTAAGTGAAGAAGTCTTATAGCCCACAGCTTACTGCAGATAAATATAGCTAGGTATATTTCCTTTAGTAAATGACATTATTCCTCCAATAAGTGTCCCAATATTTTTGCGTCAGCTGTTAATTCTAATGTGCTTTATATTTTGGGTGGATGGTGATTGCGCGCTAGCCGCCTGATGGCGCAGTGCGCACTGCTCTGGATCAGAGGAACCAGGGGAGGGAGGAGGCAGCAGAGGCAGGGCAGCCGCGCCACAGACACACAATCCACATTTCCAGAGGAGAGCGACAGTCAGCCCCCCCTCCAACGTTTTCTGTCGAGCTCGGGTAACAAAACAAGCGAAGCAGGACTCGTCTCGCTCGTCGGGGTCTGATCATCAGATTGTTCCCTGGACTTGATTTGGTCTTTATTCTCTCGGAGGTCACCTTACAGAAATAGCTCACAGGATATAAGTTATTTACAGTAGCATTATCCGAGATCCTGGAAGATGGGTTCGGTCCCAGCGATATCTGTCCTTATTTTGGGCATTGTGGTTCCAACGTTGGCCGGCTACATTGAGGTATGTGAGAAGAAATGTTTCCTGATTTACTGTGTAGGCCTACCAGGTTAGTCTAAGATCCAAAGACCAATGTGGTAGCCTCAAGCCAAAGCTGATTATTTTGCCCTGTCCTCACATGAGGTACTTACGGCTAAGCTTTGCCGATCTTCTAATGAATACACTATGTTACCTTGGTTGATGTGAAATATACTGATAAGACTTTTTCTCTTCCACACTCGGATTCCCACAGGTAGCGGAATGAATTCAGCAGGGAGGAAAGGGTTTATGAAATGTTTGTTACCTGCTTTTCTTTATAGTTGCAAATGCTTCGCCTTGTGTTCATACATATTAAAACTACTTAAATATTACTCAGTTTACTTCCTTTACTTCATTCTGATGCACTGATTGCAGTTTATTGGCGAGTTGACCAGCGCGGGGCTCAAATGTCCTATAACGAGAACTATAGCAGGATTTGGTGCAGAGATCAAACGAAAGACAATTGGTGCTTAGTCAGGCATTTAGGGAAACATAGAACCTCTGCACTGGATCACACACAGTCATGCAGCCTGCTGTACGTCATGAATGTATAGACAATATTACAGAAAAGGGTATCTTTTGCCTATGCAGTCTATTTTAATTGTAGCTTTTCCTGTGTCAACAGGATGTCCACCTTTTATAGCAGACTCTATAGAGTGCTCTATAGAGTGGATAATATATTTAGAAGCACTGAATTACCTCTCAGTAGTTGATATGTTTGACACAAATGGTCCAATTGTTGGTCTCCTTGTTCAAGCACTCACGCTCTCACACTTGCACACTTATCTACGTGATGTCCTATTTTCCTGCTGGCTCACCAAAACTGTGATGCCTGCAGTGTCAGACGTGTGTGTGTCAGTGGATAACAATGCACCCATTTTCACAGCAAACAGCCCCACCACCCTCCTCCCCCTCAGAGGTTAAGCATATTATTGCTGCTTACTGTTGAAGCAACCATGACAAAACATTTTAACGAGTTATCTTTTCCTGGCACTTGTATTTAACAGGGAATGTTTCTCTCTCCTGTATTTGCGACCCCAAAAAAAAAAAAAACCTCGGCCATTTTGAGGCAGTATTGGCTGGCATTGTGTGTGGGGAAATAATGGTTATTATGTCCCCAACAAAATCTATGCTGCTGCACACTCTACAAAGACCTCTCCCCTCTGCAATGATTGCCTCCTCAGTCAGCCTTACTAACCACACGGACGTGCTGATCGATACAGGACAGACTCTCCTGAGATGATTAATGGATGAAATCAATGAATTTCCTGATCAGTCACCCAGATTAAATTCAGAAATTTGTGGAAGCTGCTCTGCATCCTGACTGTAATGCACATGCTGAGGATTCCTGTGGTGTAATCGACGGGTGTCCTGGAGGACGGGCCTTTTTTCTTTGTTGGATTATTGCAGTAAAACACTGCATGGAGAGAATATGGATATTCATATTTGTTTTTGCACCCGCCTTCTTTGCAAATACACTTTCTTCACAAAGAAAAAGATTTGATATTGAACCAAACTATACTGCTGTAAGGTAAAACAGAAATAAAAATGCCTTAGAGCTGAAGAAATAAGATGACAAACCCCAAGGGATAAATATTTTACAATGTATTTATTCAATTTCTGATCTGACTATTCAGGATCAACATCAGCTTACAGCTTAATTTATTCAGGTAAAATACATATTCACAAAGGTTAGCTTTTTTCTAAGAATTGAGTTGAACACTGAGGTGTATCTAAACAGACACAATAATGAAGTTTTGCCCTTTCAATATAAATATCAGTAGTTTGAACCAAGCAGTCATCTTCCTCCTTTTCACTGCTGCTTTTGTTTGCTAGTGGCGTCGCTGGTGTGTGGAGATTGGGCAATGCTAATGAGGTTGTGGACGCACAGCTAAGGTAGCTGAAGCCACTGAGAGCTTCTAAGAATCACTCACTGTTGCTCAGACGTGGTTGTTGTCCCTCTCATCCAATACTCACCTTCCATTGTTCCTCATTTCTTTTCAGTTGTGATTGTCAAGCTTCTGAGAATCACACTGACCATTTGTCAGACATGGTTTTCCCCTCTCATCCAGTATTCACCTTCCGTTGTTCCTCATTTTGTTTCTGCTGTGATTGCCAAACTGCTCTCTCATTTTGTAATTCCGCCTTTTTCGTGTTTCGGGAGTAGCCTGCTGACTTCAGCTGTGCAAACAGTTTAGTTTTGTCGAATACCTGTGAGAGTGGCAGATTGTGAGCTTTTGTTTCTTCAGCTGTAGGTTCGCTTTCTCATCTGGCCATCTCTGTATTGCAGGGTTTACTGCAGTGAGGTTTGCTTTTTTGCGTGTGTGTGTTTTGTTTAGTTTTTTGACCGTTTCATTTCAGATCCAAAAAACAAGAATCAGGGTTTTTATTTTAATTTCACTCACATGTGGAGAATCACGAGTGAACAGCTGCATCTTTTCTGGAGATAATTTGGAAATGAGAAGCAGGTTTACCCAGAGAATTACGTCACACACAGGCATTCGCCAATGTGGCTCCCACTGGATTAATAGAATACAGAATATCAGGAACAGCTATTACATTCAGTACATTTTATTCTCTACTTACTTAGCAAACAGTGATTATCACAACGCACACAGTGTAAAATGTAGTGTTATGCAACACCACATCACATTTTTGTGCCTGTCATTAAAAAAAAATGTTAGTGTTTTCCTTCCAGCTGGCCTGTAGCATCAGATACATCATCATGTTTCTAAGCTCAAGGCAAGACAGAACTTGTATGGAAGAGACAGCAGTGCTAACTCATGTTAGTAGAGTGACTTTGGCAAAACTCTGTTTACAAACATGCATTCGTCAGAATAGCCTTAGAGGAATGGACAAGCAGAGGTAATCGAGAGAAGATTTTTTTTCCAGTATACCCCCTCTGCAAAAAAAAATAAAATGTTTGGGGGGCTGAGGTTATTCCTCTTTCAACAATGTCTTCTCATCAGCCAAAGCCTGTGTGCGAGCTTATAGGCAAGCTGATCTTAAAGTGTGCTTTCAAGTGTATTTGCTCTGGATATGGGCTGATAGTGAACAATTGCATGTGAATGACTGCCCCCACTTGGTTGTGATTGTTGGGGCGGGAGCTATGGAGCTGTCGGTTAGCAGGCTTGAATGATTTCCTATGAAGGCCTTTTGTGTGTCCTTGAATAGCCTGAGACAACCCAGGGTGTCCTTACCATACAGAGGGGATCGCGATGCCCAGCAGAAATAAGGACAAAGACTGCTGGCAATGTTTTATCCGGGAGCATTTGCATTTGATAATGATCTGTCAATATAACATAGTGGGTGGTGGAGCACAGTTAAAGCCTTCCATAGGCTGGTGCTTTTCTTTGCTCTGTAAGCTGTAAAGATTGCCTTTTTGACCTCCACGTTCAGCCATGTCAGTCAAGGTGAAGGCAGTGACATGTGCTCCATCAGCAGAGCATCAGCCTCACCCGCCCTTGAATTTGTAGATTAGCACCTAAAACCTTGCTTTCAATTGTTGGGACGGCCCCGTATCCCAAGAATCCTCTTAGTGACAAGAAACACTGGGTGCTTATAGATCTGCAAAGGGAATGGTACTAATCCCAGAAACCCTGCCCCAACACACACTCATACGCTCACTTCACTGATTTCACTCGCCCACACAGTGAGACCCTCATTTCCACACCCTGCAGAGGCAAACTGACTTCAAAGTGGCACAGAAAACAGTGAGTCACCTGTGTGTAATATCAGAGGCGTTCGCTCAACACTGAAGTCTGCTCTATGGCTAACAGTAGGAAGGTATGTCTGATTGAATCTAAGCCCTTAATCTCTGTCCTTTCATTTCCTCAAAGATACCTTCCCGCCACTCGGTTCATCTAGACTTTTCTGTCTCCGTCTGTCTCTCCGTCTTTCTTTTCACTGCCTGATTCTTGGCTGATTCTTCCTCCAAGCTTGTGCATGTCTCCTGGAGCGATTCCATCGACAGACACACTCGCGGCTCATCCCGAGGATTTAAATAGAGAGGCCTCATCAGGCGAGCCTTGTTCTCACGATGCCAGGCTTTGTCTCCGAGGCTCTGCGTGCGCCCTAATTATCCAAAGTGAGCAGAGTTGTCTTTTTTCTCTTTTTTTGCAACTGGAAATGTGTCTGCGTGTGGGTGTGTGTTTGTGCACCCGAGTCCTCTTGCAGCTCTGCTCATCACATATTTAGTCGGTTTTTCTCGACGAGAGATCCTGGGCGATGGGGACTTGGCTCGGAGTCAGTGGGTTCAAATCAAGACACCCATGGCTGCACATCACTTAAGTTGCATCAGGCCCTCTGCCATATGTAGGACAATCTGCACAGCCATAACAATCTACCCCATGTATATGCAGCCAAGGTGAACGGCACTACACCTGTGTCTGTGTATTCTCAACAATAGCCTGGCTCAGCACAGATGCCAAGATGTCAGTTTGTATGCCACAGTGCTCAGGAATGCATAGCCTGAAGTCCAAAGGCCTCGCTTTATTGTGCTGTGAGCAGCTCTGTTCCTGTGATAGCGCTGAAAGTAACTATACACTGTGGCGAGTTCAGCAGACAAACACATGCCTTTTAATCCGTTTTAAAGGAGCCCTGCCATTTCGGACTTTATTTTTTAATGTAGTTTCTGTTTGACAAAGAGAAGTCAGTCAGTGTGGGCTGGATAAACCCTGTCAACCCCCTACTCGGTTTGAACGTGGGTTTGTGTGTGTTTGTGTGTCCCCGCAGCTCGGTGAGTCACTCTTGCTGCTTGCAATTTTCTTCCCATGAATAAAATATCTGGTGTGCTATCTATGAGTTACAGTGCACTCGTGTCTCTGCTTATGGCCCCACCTGTCTCACCCTTAGTCCCTGCTTATCCATATGAGAGGAGGACTTTGTCTACTGTCCCCTCCCCTCGCTCCTGGTCTTATTCAGGTGTGCAGATCAGTGAGTCATGTGCAGGCGCGAGCGAGGCCTTTGCACTGATTTGTCTGTGT